GAGAGGGGGAGAGAGAGTGGGAGGGAGGGAGGGGACAGAGGCATTACTACCCAAACGACGCAGATAAACCCGCAGCTAAAGACACAAGAGCCCCGTTTTGACTAACGTAAAAAGCCCCTATGGACCGGGCCTTGCCTGGGAGCTTTTGAGCCCGGCAAATGCAGCTCCGAAGCGTCACAACCAGCCCGGCGCCTCTAAAATCGGCCGGCTTCCCCCTCTTGAACCCCTTCCTCCCGCCTCCACCTGCAGCAGCAAGCGCCTCTCTCAATACTGCTCTCCGGACGCCCCTTCCCGCATGCGACCGGGCTTAGAAAGAGGCTGCCGGGAAGCTCCTCTCGAGCCCGAACGAATCGAGGGCTCGCAAGCCTGGACCCCGCTAGCCCTCGCTCACCCGGACTGCTGCTTCCAAGGCGCGCCGAGCTGCTGAGCCGCAGTCCTCCCCCTGCGACCGCCGCTAAATCCTTAAATCTGAGCGGCTCCCTTCTTCCCTTCTGGGGCATCAGCAGGCTCCGCCTTCGGCTCCCTGCTGCCGGTCTGCGGCAAAGCAACTGCCAGCCTCATCTCGGCGGCCAAAAAGAGAAGTTACTTTTTTTTTTTGTCAGTAAGCAAACAAACAAACGAATAGGGCAGGGGTAGGCAACCTTGGCTCTTTTATGACTCGTGGACTTCAACTCCCAGAATTCCTGAGCCAGCATAGCTGGCTCAGGAATTCTGGGAGTTGAAGTCCACGAGTCATAAAAGAGCCAAGGTTGCCTACCCCTGGAATAGGGGGACGAGGGGAGCGATCCGGCATTAGCCTTCCGTCCGCAGGTAGTTAGGGAAGCTCCTTGTCAGTCTCAGCATTACCTTCTGGCAATATTTTCAATAAGAAGGGAGGCTCCACATTTTGTCAGCGGTTGGACTGTTTCTGCAACCAGCAAAACAATATTCCCCCCACTTCTAATGTACTCCAATCACCGTCACTGTTGGTAATTGGGGAACATCAACACCCTGAAAATTATATTGATGGAGGAATGCGTTTCTGAATTCAGTGAGATCTCTCTGGTGTTTGTGCCCCTCTCCTCTGGGACATTTTTATTACTTAACAGTACTTACTTAGCTTACTTAGAAGCTGGGCCATCTAAATAGGGCAAGGCAGCGAAGGACACAACCACTATTCACGTGTGAATCCATAATATAAGATCTAAAGAAAAAGAAAGCAAGATATACAAGAGGCACCAGGAGGAACTAGGACAGTGATGGCGAACCTTTTAGAGACCGAGTGCCCAAACTGCAACCCAAAACCCACTTATGCATCGTCGGGTGTCGGTCGGGTGTGGCCCATT